CGTGGAGTTTTGGTGTTTTAGCTGGAGTCGGAGTCGTCAAAAAATCCGCCGACTCCGACTGCTTTTTACTTACCAACTTTTCCGTTTTATGTATATAAAACGGAAAAGTAACTTTTGTACTTTTGTAACTTTTCCGTTTTATGTATATAAAACGGAAAAGTATTGGAATCGTGTCAAATTTGACCCTCCAAGTTTTTTTTTGCAAATCTACACGTTTCGAGATCTCCCGAACCCTGAAAAAAGTCAGTAAAAGGGAAAAATTCGCGCACGCGCGTTGGCATCTAATTTGTTTAATTTCTTTATTTTCTGTTCTGAGATATTAAACAATATCTCAGAATGGGTAAAATTTAAGAAACGAAATGTGGCACTGTAGCTTGCGTATAAAGGGGCATTAATACTATTAAATTTTGGTTCTTAATTAAAGGTTGACAGAGTGAAGACATAAAAGTGGTCATGTGTCATATCTCTTAATGAATATTTTACTCGTTATTAGCGTTCAAAGTTAAAACAATATGTATAAAATGAAATTTGCTTCTACCATCAATTTACCACCATTTGTCATTTTATAATAGTACAGTAAAACTCGTTAAGATGTTCTCGCCTAAGATGTTAGAACGTATATGGGGACATGATTTAGTTCAACCACTTTGATGCTTAATAACTAACTCCTGTGTTAAACCATCCGACTCCGATTCTGACCACTCTGATCACAGAAATTATTAGGCTTCAAACAGAATGAACAAAATCATGCCCCCCCACCAGTAGCGTAGCGAAGGGAGGCGGCAAGGGCAGCCCGCCCCGGGTGGCACTTTTTAGGGGACAGCAAAATTACATTTTAGGGGGCGGAAGAATTTCACAATAAATAATAATAATATCTTGTAAAAATTTGAACCATTTTATTTCATATTTTCGTCCATCTACGATTCGGACCGATTGAAATGAGCACAAAATAGTGTTACCATCTGACTCACCGTCGGGGGATATCATGCGCAACCTGCCGACCTTTTTTTTTCTTTATTTTTTTGCTTGTACGATTCATTCGTAATCATATACACCTCCAAAATCCAATAGAGCTAGGTCACTTGCGTTACTCCTATCCAAGTCTCCCTAGTCGCTAACTGTAACTGATTTAGAATCGGCATGCACTGCACGTTACTCATAGCATTGAAAAATGACATTGCGCATGCGTCAGGAACTTCTGTTCGAACAAACCTCACCTGCTGTCCGGGACAGCGATTTTAAAAAGGTGGCAACACTAGTATGGAATTTTTCATTACTTATTCTGTGACGAAACTGAATTTTAGTCTTTTAAACTGAGATACCTAAATAAGGGGGAGGCGAAATTTTCCTCCGCCCCGGGCGGCTGACACCCACGCTACGCCACTGCCCCCCACACAACCTAACATCCACACATATAGAAAAAACCTAAATCTTTTGCATATCTCGAAATTTTACGGTGTCCTGAGTCCAAAAATGTAAAAATTTGGGAAGGGTCATTTTTTGACCGAGTGCTACACTTTTCGTCTGTTATATATAACAGCCGGAAAAGTAAAAATTATCGAATACATATTTATATATTACTTAGAGAAGTCTTTTAGGTTTGGAATAAAAAGTTTCTACGCTCTATCTTTATTAGAACTCTATTTATTGAATCTTTTATTCTGAAGTCACGTGATGATATTAGAATTTCCGGGCTCTTTTGGTAACAAATCCGCCCCTTGTTGGAGTCGGAGTCGGATGGTAAGGAAAAGTCGGAGTCGGTAGATTTTTACACAACTCCACAGCCCTGATATTTATTAATATTTTTACAGAAAAAATTAGAGTAATATATAATATGATCGAAGTGAATACATATTATTGCTAAAAAACTTCTTTATAATGTTCAGTTGAAATATATATCTGGGATAAAAAAAACTAAATAAATTTTTTATAACAATATATTTTCAATATCTTTCCTCCCTCATAATTAACAAATATACAGTATCTCAGAACATTTGAATCAATAAGAATATTCAATATTAATTTTTTCTCTGTGTAATGGAATAAGCATTTCGAATAAGATATACAATACAAATATTACTCAACAAAAATCTTAATTTTATATTCAATTACTTTATTATATTTTTGTGGATATTTTACTTCTTATAAATGAATCATTTATGTTTTAGAAGGAAGTTCATAAATTTCATCTTTGTCCTTATTAAATAAAAATGATAATGAAAAAAAAATTCTTAATTCTGGAAACCAAATTAAATTTTATTCAAATGAATAAAATTTAATTTGGTTTCCAGAATTAAGCATTGTTTTTCATCTTTTTGAATATGGTGCCAAGTTCAAATGTTATTTGTGTTAAATTAAATAAATGTTAAAGAATTGAAATAACATTAGTAAAATATTTATATTTGTATTAATTTATTTAATTTAACAAAAAAGGCTAAAAAGCTGTTTACAATATTAAATTTAACCTCCAGAATTTTACTAACAACAATAAATTTATTAACAGAGTTTTATCTAATCAATTTTTTTTAAGTAAATTAAAATAATAAAACTTTTAAGAAAACACAATTACAAAAATAATTTTTATTTAACAAATCAGTTTAACAATTAATTTGATAAAGTCTCTTTGACTTTTAAAAATCTATTATATTATTTTTTGATTTTGAGAATGAGAAAACATTGTTAATGAATTATAAAAATTCTTTATTATTAAATTCATTTTTCTTTTAAATAAATCAAATACAGTAGAGCGTCGATTTTCCAAAAGTCAATCATCCGAAAGAATTCCAGTCGGCAAATTTAAATTTTTGCCAGTGCTGTGGCGCTTCAATCTTTGGCTATGTCTTGGGCTACTCAAATATTTTACGTTTTTGATACTAAATTAACATCTAAAGTATAATTTTTTATTGTTTTTATACTTTTCAATATATTTATTTCCCGCATCATGGGCTCTGCCTAGTATGTCTAAATAAATAACTATATTTATTTTGTTTGTACAAAATAAAAAAATAATTTTTAATGATACAATAGTCTTTGTTAGGCTTAACATCAACGAAAATTCAACGCAAAACAACATGCAACAGAGAAAAATTTCAACATTGGATACGTTAAACTATTTTTTCGTACATAAATCGGTTATCTGAAATATCAGTTATACGAACAACCCCAGTCCCCAATTGATTCGGAAAATCGACGCTCTACTGTAATACTAGATTTCTTGGACAACACTACAATTTAAAATTAACAGAGTTTGAGTCAATTAATTTATTTATGAGATAGCAGCATTGCTTACTTCTAAATACAAATCCAAATCATATTATATATAATTAATTTAAAAAGTGTGAAATTGTCACTTAAGAAATCAATATCATTACTTGGTTTATTCATATGCATTTTAAGGTAATGTTTGTTTATACATATACATTTTACTTCTGTTAAATAATTTATAAATACAGTTTAACCTGATTATAACATCATTGGATGTAATGACAACACTAATATAAAGTCAAATTTTTATTGGTCCCACAATTTTACTATACTAGATAATGTTAAAAAACCCCACTTGTAATGACATAAAACCCTGTTTTAACGTCGTATTTAAAGCACTCCCAGATTTACAAAATTAGATTATGAATTTTATTTAACAAAGAAAATACAGTACATTTACTATTGTGTTCAGTTTCTAGGGTCAGAGTCCACTTCCTAGAATGACTGTGGGTGGTACTCTCACCACCTGACTTTGGTGGAGCGAGGTTCTTCACATCTTTAAATGACCTGATGATCAGGTTAGTTTGCATAGTTACTCGTTGTCATGGTGAAATCGTGTAATGACATGATTAGCCAATTTGAACTGTTAATGGATGCTGCCAAGGAAAGATCGAAGAAGATCATGATTGGCTAAATTTGAATTGGTGGCGCATGCGTCTCAAGGAAGAGATGGTTGGCGAAACAACATGCCATGTGGTGGACCTGGAATAGAGCTATGACTAGCATAGCTGCTAATTGGTCGGCCAACGGCTGTATAAGTTCGATGTGGAAGCAGAAAATTCGAGTTGGATCCGTCTTGCTGATTAAGTTCTAATTTGTTATTGGCGTATCAAACAGTTGTCAATTATGAAGCTGTTATAAATTTTAACTTTACTCTCATTTTGTACAGTAGTTTAGCAACAAATCAGGTGAAATGGCTAGCTTAAAAAGGAAATCATAACGTTAGACTGCAAAGTAGAAATAATTAAAGCTGTTGAAAGTGGAAGAAAAAAGGCAGATGTTCCAAAAATCGATTTTCCAAAAGTCAATCATCCGTAAATACAAATTGATGTCTACAGAAATTAAGACTTATTTTATTGTACCTTCATATTCTAAATTTGCTAAATTGTAATTGTTTTTTTAATCATTTGTAATATTCCCCCATAACAGAGAAATTGTTCTCTATTGTTAACACTAACTTATACTGTATTATATTGTAATTGTAATAATAAATATGATGAAAATCGTAAAAATAATTTTGAAAAGTATAAGTTACTATATTATTTACAAAGCATGCCCCAGATTATTAATTTTATATTATTTTAAACCAAAGAATATGCTATTAGAATTACTTCACTATATTTTATTTTCTTTATATAAAAACCTAAAAGAATGATTACTATATAAAACCTTTTGTACTAACTCAAAGTATATTTTTCTTTTACTGATCTATATTAGGATTTTGATATCATATTAACAAATTAAACAAACTCAAAGTGATTTCAAAATTAAAACTTTATTAAATATTATGTATGCAATTTACAATATTAGAATTTATTTACTTAATACTAGAATTTCATGAAATTCAATTTATAAACAAAATTTACTGACTACAGAATAAAATAAATTGATAATCTTCACTCTACATTAAGAAATAAACAATGCAGGATAACAAAACAATTTATTTACTATATAAATTCAAAATTAAAGCTATTTAATTTTTCAAAAATAAAAATATATTTTAAATTATAATTTACCTGCAAAGAATCTGTACTTTTAGGTCTAGTCTTGATTTTTGTTTGTTTTTTCCCTTTCCCTTTTCTTTTAGTTTCACCTGCTACAGGCTGTGTTATGATTTGATCTTGTCCTTCCCCAATGCCCATATCCATAATTTCTTGAGGTGGTGGTACCATATCAGGTGGTTGCGACATAGGTGGTATTACTGCTAAATTCTGCTGATTGTGCTGCATCCCCATCATTTCCTAAAAAAATAATTGACAATAAGTTTATTATTAATATAATTCTAAAAGTGACTTAAATCACTTTCATTTCTATTTTCCTTAATTCTTCAATAACAATTATTTTAATTTTCTTAAGGTTTTTAATATTTATATATTTAAATTTTTATTAAGTCTTCTTCAAAATCCTCATTTATTTATTTATTTATTTTTTGGTATTTGCAAATAATGATTTGTTACCAATGAATTCAATGTACAATAAACCCTAAAGGTAAATTCAATAATTTAATAGCATTTCTGGAATACTCATTTTTTATTTTACTGTTATTTAAAATATAAATTTTTAATTTTCAAAACAAATAATTGTATTATATATTATTCCAAGACTTCAATAGTTGTTTAAAAGATGATAATTCATATAAAAGTAATTTCATATTTATTATTTCAAAAAATATTATATTACAATTGCATCACTGTTAAAATCTAACTTTAGAATTATCTGTTATTTTTTTTTTATTGCTATCTATTTTACCTTTTTAATTATAAAAACCTATTTAAAAATTATTGAATATGCTTTTTAATTTAACAAATAAAATATAAATATAGAAACACACAATAATAAATTCAAGCAAAACTCCTTATGTATATTAACATTTTTAAGAATATATATTTGTGTATATTTGAAATTAAAAATCTTAAAAGTTTTATTTCAGATATAAATTTCAAAATAAATCAACACATGTTGCTTTTAATGCTAATAACTTTTATAAGTGCAATGTATTCCATTTATGAAGTCAATATGAACATGTAAAAGGCATTAGACTTTTATATTAGCCGTTTTTGTTCTGTCATATATACCTGATGATGTCTATTTTAAATAGATGAAAACATTAGTAAATGTTTTCTTTATTTATTAATTACATAACTGCTGCTATTGGTTTGGTGGTCTATGTTTCTATGATCCCAGTTTTGGAGTGTTATTTATATCTGTAAAGTATTAATGTAATTCTTTTGTTTGGAGATGACAACAACAAATATTGCTTCAAGTGTTACTTATTAAAAAATATCTTATATAAATTCAAAGCAAATAGACTATTATATTTTAATAAAAAGTTTAAAGTTAATAGTAAAATTTTAGAGAAACGTGAACTTAAAATAATTATATAACTGTGTAATTGTGTGTTAAATAAAATAATTATATAATAAATAAAAAAATAATTGTGTAGTTTTGTAAAATTTTTCAGAATAAAATTTTTGTACCAATTTTTATCAATAAACAAATAAAAAACTATAAAATACAATTAAAACTAACTGAAATGACAAAATTGAGCTTCTTTTTTAATTTTTGGGGATAGCTACAGGCCTTTATGACAGAAGTGTAATAACCAGGCATTAATGTAATAAGTTTATCAATTGTTAGCTAGGAAACAATTTTCTATTCTTTCCACATCTCCAAACAAATCTTTAAAATTTTTATGGCCGTCTTTCCAATAAGAATCTCAGATCATCCCAAACATGTTTGAATAAATTCAGATTTAGAGACTGACTAGATCATCAAAATCAATGTTCTGGAACATTATTCACTTAATAAATCCATCCTTCACCATAAAAACAAAAGGTAGCATTGTTTTCTGGAGGAACAGCTGGGTATTCATAGTCCTCCGATAAGCCTAAGTAGACCGATTTCCATCAAATAAAAAACAAATCATTATCACACCACCTCCATATTTTATCATACCAGACATGCATGAGCCCATGGGGCATTACTTTCAAACAACAAAACTTAGATTAATCAGATCTGAGCACTTTGGACTGTTTTTTTACTCCTCAAATAATATGTTCTTTTGCAAACTCTAGCTTTTCAATTTTTTACTCTTATTCTTTTTTACTGAAACTCATCCTCATACTCCAACAGTTCACAGATAACAATTAGTTGTTATCTGTACTAACAGTCAATCAACTCTGTCATATTCCTTATTAAATTTTCAAGAAATTTTCTAAACATATTTCCTTACATCTCAGATCAATTCCCTCATTATAAATCACTCAAATCAATTTATTGTTTTTCAAAGTTTTCCAGTTCTAGCAGTGTCCAATAACTTTCCACAGTTCTTAAGTTTCTAAAGAAGGCAAATCATTATGAGGATTGTCTCAGAAGTACCCGACCTGAGGTATAGATGGTGGTAGTTGTTTGAAAAAAATTACTGTGGTTGAAAGTACCAACCTTATAAAGCTTAAGTTTGAAGACGCTATGTTGTTTAGTATTTGTTTGACAGACATCAATAGTGAACGATCTCAACGAATTTGTAAACATGGAAAAATTGGTCTTTGTCATGTGATACAATACTTTCATTTGAAAAGTCTCAGTCCAACCAATATCAAAGCTGAGCTAGATTCTACTCTGGTGGAGTTTGCTCCCTTGTTTACAACAAAATATTGGGTTGCAGAGGTAAACAAGGCTGTACGAGCTGCCAAGATGAACATCACAGTGGTTGACTAAATGAGGTGACCATAACAGAAATGGTGAAGAAAATCCACAAAATGGTATTGGATGACTGTTGACTCAAAGTGCGAGAGCTAGCAGACATGGTAGGCATTTCAAAAAGTGCTGTACATCGCATTTTGAAAATTTGGACAGGAGAAAGCTGTGCACAAGATGGGTTCCACGTTTGCTCACAATGGAACAAAAACAGCATCATTAGAATGTTTCAATTGAGTGTTTGGCGATGTTTTGCAATAATAAAGCCGCATTTTTGTGTTGAATCATAACCATGAATGAAACATGGGTCCATCATTTCACACCTGAGATGAAAGAACAGTCAAAACAATGGACTGAAAGGGGAGAATTGGCTCCAAAGAACACAAAGACAGTTCCATCTGCAGGCAAGTTCATAGCATCATTTTTTGGGATGTGCATGAAATAATTTTCATTGATTATCATTAAAAAAGAAAAACAACAATGAGTATTATATAAACTTATTGCAGCGCTTGAGTGATAAAATCAAGAAAAAATGGCTGCATTTGGTGAAAAAGAAAGTGTTGTTACATCAAGACAACACACCAGTTCACAAATCCGTTATTGTGGCGGCCAAAATCAATGAGTTAAGGTTCAAATTGCTTCCTCATGCACCCTGTTTGCCAGATTTAGCCTTCTCAGATTATTTTCTCTTTCCAAACTTGAAAAAATGGCTTGGTGGTAAAAGATTTACCGACAATGAAGCAATGGAGTCTGCAGTTGATGGCAATTTTGAGAAGCTCGACAGTTCTCACTATAAATAGGGTATCGAAGCTATTGAACATCGCTTGGAAAAGTGTATCGAGCTAAAAGGAGATTATGTTGAGAAATAAAGATATGTTTTCCCAAATTTTTTCTATCTTCTTTGTTAGGTTGAGTACTTCTGGGACTACCCCCATATTTTTTAAGATCAAGCAGCCTTGATAAGTTTCGATAGTAATTAAATTTTTGTTTGTTTTTACCATATTTCAATATTAACTTTGGTTGAAAATCAATGAACTTTTATATGCTGTAACAAAAGGATTCAAGAAAGTTCAAAATTCTTACAGAAAATTCTAAAAGTAAGAATTCTCATTAATTCTACTATTTGTTAGTGCAGTGTACTAATAAATAAAGCTTGCAATTGTTTTTTAGACTGAACCTTGAATATAATTTTTTTTCTATTTTAAGTTACACATTATGTTTTTAATATGTTTTGTGCTCTATGTTAATTCAAGACTGCATTGAAGCCATTTGAGTGACTCATTACAATAATTTGTTGCAGCTACTGCAAAGAGAGAATGTTCACAAAGTCTTCATTTTTCTAAAGACTTCTAGACTAGAAAGTAATTTTCAAATGTCACTTCAAACTACAGGAACTATGTCAGCATCAGATGATGGAACTCACTTCAAAAATATGTTTAAGAAAATATTGTCTTGCAGCTTTAGAAAGTTACATGATAGTCTATTGTCTAAACATAAACTAAAATAATGTTGACAGAATCTAAGTTACAAGAGAACACAGACATTAATAAAAAAAACTAATAAAAAGTTTGTAAAAAATTTTTTGTGTTATAGATAAAAAAACTTTGCAACAGGCTGCAATGTATCATAATTACACTGAAACTTTCAAGGAAAGCACTTGTTTGAATTAATGAATTTAAACACAATATGTCAAATTTCATAACATTATGGCTTTTCAAGAAACAGGCCATGAATCTTTTTCTGACAAACCAAATGTCAACTCTTTTACAAATTATGCAATATTTGAACAAAACATAATTAAAGATTCTAGTTAGATCTGACTGACCTTCTAAAGGACTAATGCTTCTTGTAACTCATGGGAAGAATATTCCCTATTTTTATAAATCTGACAATTTTTAGTTGTTAAAATTAAAAACTAAAATACTGGTAAAATGTTAATTTTCATCTGAAGATTTCTTCTTTTGATAGTCTTTTGTTATCACTAAGGGAAATCAGGATTTAATCTCGGAAAGCAGAGTTGAATGGGTAAAAACATTTTTATTGTGAATTGTAAAATTACCGCCTTATGTGACCACTAATTCATAAACAGTATAGAAATAGAAGACACAATATAATATAAATAAAATAAATAAATAAATTTTAATTAAAAAAAAAGGTCATACATGAAGAGAACATTAAATTTAAAAAAAAAAAAAACTCCTGGGTAAAGAAATAAAGACATTACATAAAAATAATAATTTCTGAAAGTCTTATCTATTCTCCTGTTTCACAGACTAATCCAGAAATAACAGTCAAAACACTTGAAGATAAAATTCTTCTAAGACATCCAAATAGAATATTAAAAATTATCATAAAGTTAAAGTGTGATCAAAATGCCGACCTTTTATTAGAGGCTACAGCGTCTTCACAATAAAACAATGATTAAAATTTCTATAATATTTACTGTGTCTTGTAGTGTATTTAACCGCTTCTAGCCCTCTGGTGGTCTTTTTGGTTAATCTTGGCATCACTTTGCATACACTAAAGACACAGTAAATATTATAGA